TTGACTGACCCAGTGACCTGTGACGCATTCCTGAGTCGGGCGCGGTGCATGCTGGGTGTGAGGGAAAAGTGACGGAATCTCTTGGATGAGAAAAATTGTGAAAGTCAATTAACATGATACAAACAATGTCCTATACTCGCTTATACAACTGTAAAACAAAAATGGATGGATGAGTATAAAAGCCGAAATTAATCGTTCACTTTTAAAGGTCATATTGACCCCCCCCCCCCACACACACACACACACACCAGGGGAGGCGGAGGGGCAGGGAGGGGGGGGGTACTTCCCAGGCAATCATAAATGCCCCTCTCGCGGATATATAATGCCCCAGCGAGATGAAAACTGAAGTTCCCATCAAACGCACACGTATGAAGCGCGCTACAAATAAACAAATAAAATTGTCTCCTCTCTTGTGATGCAAAACTGCCCTTCAAAAACACAAGTACCTCTCTCGCATTAACAAGATTGTGCACCTTCTCTAGATGGAAAACTACCCCTCGAAAGCACAAATACCCCTCTCGCAATATAATAAAATTGTGCCCCTCTCGAGATGGAAAATTGGCCATCAAAAACAATAGTGCCCTCTCGCGATAATTTTTCGAGATGGAAAACTGCAGCACAATTAGTGCCCCGCTCGTAACATTAAAATTGTGCCCCCTCTCAAGATGGAAAACTGGCCCCTAAAAATAACACTGCTCTTCACGCGAATAAAATGGTTACTGAACTGGCTATCAAAAGTAACAGTGCCCCTCACGCGATAAAAAAAACAATGGTCTCTCCACATAACTAGGTAAAAGAACCACAAAGACCAAGATGGCCAACGTATCTATACTTTGTTCCTCGTCATATTGGTTTATAGCGAAATGAACGGGACCATATTCTTTTCCTCTACTGTCACACTGATGGAAGGTACCCCTTTTTCTGAGCAAGTGCCCCCTTTTGGTGTTGCCCCCCCCCCTCCCCTCCCCCAGTTTGAAAAGCGTTCCGCTGCGCGGCCCCTGACACAAATGGAGTTTCGAACTGATCAAAGGATGTTCTCGTGGAAACATTTTTCCTGACAAGCAACCCTAACTCCTTTGATGACATGCCCTTAAAATATTCAAAGCTCCAGTAAAAATGTCATCCTAATAAAAGCGTCAACCTCATATTTAGGTTTATCGAAAATTGTATTTGTAAACTTTGAAAAAGCATAACATGAACCATCAAAATATATACGCTAACTTCGAGCTGATGCATTGAAATGTTCCCGCCATTTACATTCACATTGCTGCATGCTTCATATCATGTTCTGTTTTGGGAAATGTTTGACAGTAAAGACCTGAACGTCGACTACAGGTCCATCAGGGTCATTATTTAATTGACATAATAAATATGAAGCAACGCCATAACACATACGCCGCCATAAATCACAGTGCTATCAAACATTCAAGAAACGACTGCGTTAAACGGAAGGTGGCGCTGTTCGAGTTCGAAGCAGTCGATCGCAACCAACGCCTAACTTCCTGATCTGTTTTAGATTAAGTCATGTTTCTCTTCATTTTCCATTGTCATAACTCATCAGGATTCGAACATCAACCTTCCAGCGTGAAGGTGCACAATTTTCAAATAAGTAATTGTCGCACTAACTTAAGTTGTCAGGGTTTTTATTCTTCAAAAGAACAACCCGGCCTGTCCACTTTTATAATAACACATCAAAGTGTTAAAGGTGCTTTGAACTTTGTCAAAAAAAACGACAATAATTTTGAAATTGACTAGATAAGCACTTCTGTATATAATAAAAACAAAACAGTATGGTGTCTCTCATAATCTGGAGTGCATCGATCGGGTATGTTATAATTGACAGTTACAAGTATTAAGTGGATCGGTTTTCCGAATGGTTGAACCTATTTTGAAAACATACTCGGAACACAGAATTTTGACTGTCAGCTACTAGCACAGAGGCTTGTTAAAATGAGGAGGCTTTACGGGAGAATGAAAACATGGTTCGGTTTGGGAGTTAACGATGCAATTGAATATCAACAGAGATTCGGACACCACACTGGTCCACGTGAGGGAGGGGGATTGTGGACACAGCTTAACATCAATCCAAGATGGTGTTTATGATTAGGGCCCATCTCGAAACATTATGACACAAACGTCATCAAAGACTGAGTATATAAGTGTAGACCAAGATCCACAAGGGATTATCTTGTTCATGTATCGTCCATGCTATTTTAAAGTTGCAACCAAGATATATATTTTTACTGCTATTTTTCTTGTTTTGTATTACGCAATACAAAAGTTATTCACATTTTATTTTGGAACCAGTCTACTCAAAGGGCGGATCTGTGTGAGCAAAATTGTGAGTTGCAGACACCCCTCGCCCCCCCCCAAAAAAAAAACCTCAATGAAACATAGGAGTTGATAACTCGTGAGGAAAAAAAATGGAATTTGTTTAAAAGCACGGGCATTTCATCTTGAACTTTGTGGCAGAGAAATCTCCAACAGCTAGCTGCAGTTGGACTACCCAGCCCGTTAGTGAATGAATGAATCGAGGAATTCACCTAGGTGGAAATTCAGAGTGCCATGCAGACACGATAGAGCGCCACCAATATCAAATCATTTTCATTTTGAAGCAAGTGCATGTATACGTAGATGGGAGATAGGATATTCGCATGCCGCCCTCAGCGGTAAAAAAGGGACAATTAGCGATATCTGACCGTTAACATCACTTTGTCCTTTTACCGCCCGTTTATCTGTTGTGATGTGCATGGGCGGCGATCCCAGTAGAGATGGGGGACACGAATACATTTTGGGGCGGGAGACGCTAACGGCGATCCCTTCCCCAATAATCTGTCACAGTGCATTATGAATTTTCTAGAAAGTTGCCTAATTCATTAACGCTAAGATATCGCTGTGTCAACACACATTAAACATAAATTCAACACACACATACTGCTTGCAATTAGCGTAAACGCGTATTAGTGTATGTGTGTACATGCATACATAAATGTACGTGTTTGAGCAGCGCCCCCTTACAGGGACGTCCACCCCCCCCCCCTCAATTACACACAAAAAGTCGTTGGTGTTTGTGTGCTTCGTGTACTTTTTTCTTGTCATTAATCTAGAATTCAGACCCTACCACCCGCCCTATCAAATTTCCGGAAATTTTGCTGCAGGAAAACGGAACGCTATTTTCGTGCTGACAAGTTTTTTTCATTCCGTAAAATAAACATACCCTTAACATGAGTTTGGACATGTGTACACGGTTGTGGGTGAAATAACAATATGTACTTAGATGTACTATATTATGTGTAGGTGTTTGGGCCGATGTGGTTGATTGTAATCACGCTAATTAGCATATTAATATTTGCATTTACGGAAAGTCCGTAAAATTACGCCGAAAATACGGAATATTTCACTTTACGGAGTCCGTAAATTTACGGGCATTTTTAACAGTGTATAGACCAATCCGGGCACGCTATCAATTCTATCACGGAAGGCCCCATTCAGTGGCGAAAGCACTGTGCTAACTATTGTTACATCATCGGTCATATAGGGCACTAGCTTTTTATAAAACTATATACACAATGATTTCGCCATGAAGGGGCCGGCCGCAAGGGGGGGGGGGTGTACATTGATCACGTGCCCGGATTCGTCTATACTTTAGACTTCTGATGGCTCTTTTAAAAGAACAGTAGAGGGCGCCATTAGTTTTAACCACCGCTGTATCCAAGAAACTGAAGGATAATTATTTCTTTCATGCAACTTTATTCAGGAAATGCAGCCTACCTCCATGGTCAATGCACGTAACTTCCGTGTAGGACTTACACCAACCACATTCCCGAACTGTCTAGTTAATTTCAACATCGGTCTCAAAAGGGGACCCTATCAATTTGCTTCTGGTACTCTGATGTTCATTGCGAATTGTATGTCCAATCCTACTCCTAAACGATTATTCCCATTCTTTTTTTTTTTGCCATTATCGAAGTGTAATGGTGCTGGTTGATTGGGTGTGATTATGCCTATCACAGTACGAGTACAACTTTAAAAATTCAATTTCCTTTCCAATCTGACGACTCGGAGGACTTTTTTCAGTATGTTCCTAAGACATTACATTCAAAACCAACAACACTTTGCATCATTGTAAAGGCACCAGACTATTCTGCACTTTTATCGAAGATATTTGGAAATGCACATTTTCCAGTGAGCACAGTTAAGTAATATCCGCGTCCTGACCTAAATTCAACCAATTTCGTCCAGTCTTTCAAGCGATATCTCACTGTCCGTCACCATCTGTTGGTAAGTAATTGAATTAGACAAGCGATTTTGTGCTCGTATGAAATCGCCATTTGCCTTCTGGAAAAAGAATATCAAGAGCTTGCTGTGATAGAATACCGCCAGATCGGGAATTTATCTGGTTTGGACTGACTGAGGGCGCAATTCATTCTCTTAACTCGCGTGTAAATAAATAAACAAAAATTTCGAGCAGATGGTTATTTGTCATTCTTCACTATCATATCATTTCCATATTCGTTATTGTTTTCTAGTTAGTAGGAACACGAAGCAATTATCAAATAGCAAACGGTTCAGAATTATTTGAATATTAAAACCACTAAAATTGCATTACAAAGATACTGCCTGATCTTTAAAATCACCAAGAACGAAAAAAAATCAGCAATTGTCATCGCTATCTCCATCTTTGATCCATAACTGGTTTGAAAATAGTTTTTGAATAACTCAATTTTCTATAGGCCAAGAACAGCGCCCTCTGTGGCGTGACAAAGACGAGGTGTCTCGTAGGTGCTGGTAAAAAAATCATGGTAGCCTAAGTAGGCAACGTTTTTTGATGGGATGCATGTATACCAATGAAATTATAGGAAAAAAAATGTATCCAGGCATGTGTCTCTCAGGATGCGAGAAAATGCAGGGAAATAGTTATTGTTTGCATTGGCTTGTTAAAACAGATAGAGGGCGGCAGACATATAAACACAGAGGCATCATTTCACTTGATTAAATGGCTGTAACAGTTTCCTTTTTATTTTCGCGTTCATCCAATGGAAAACATTGGAAACTTAAGTTTCCAAAAAAAGTAACTTTGATTTAACATAATTGAAATGTATCTCGTCTTCTAACCTGCTTATACGATAATGCATATATTTAAGATACTTTAATTATGAGATTGAGTTCCTCAGGGTAAATATTGTTACTCTTTACATGTATGCATTATTGTGTACAATAGGCTTCAAGGAATCATGGAATACAAATTACGTTAAATATTTTATTTATTTTATATCTGAGACAGCTAAATGCTGAACTCTCATAAAAACAAATGTTAGCATTCACTGAGACTAAAAGACTGGATGACATTTTGCTAGTCGTTTTACAAATTAAAGTACTATTAGTCTTATGGAATCGTAACAAGGACGAGTTAAACTCATCCTCAGCTTCGGAATCTTTGGCAATTTTTGCGTCACTTATGTTATTGTTTTTTCCCCCAAAGCGACTGCATGACAGACATTTGTGAGGGTGGGCGGAACCACTGATGTAACTTTTCAGCAAGTAACTGTTTTTGGTAATTGTGGTCAGTTTTCTTCCGTACAGTACTCTAGTTATTGTAATGGTGTAACACAGACCACCCATGTGAACATGATCTATTTTTATATTTATCAGAAAGTTTTTGATCCATGGAATAATGTAAATGCTATAATGATACAAAAAAATAGTCCATCTTCTGATGTTTCAAGAAAATAGAGGGCGCACTAGATATAGTTTAAGCAGAGGTCAACAAATTGTTTAAAATTTGTCACCATATTATGTTTGACAATCACAAACCCGGTTTTAGTCAGCATGCAGTTTTACCTGCATGTTGCAAATTGCTATATAGACGAAACAAGTTTAGTTGGCATGGAATAAATATCCCTCAATTTCACAAAGTTATGTACTATTTGCCAGCTCTCGGTACACCTCTTGAGCCCTGTGGTTTTATCTGTTGATGGGCGCCAAAGAACGCAAGATTTTTTAAAGTCTTTTAGTCTTCAGCAGTTGTGAATGAAACGTCATCACACTTTTTTCATTCCCACATCAACTCTTTCACCTATCTTTCTCAGTGATACGGTGTTAAGTAACTGGGGGAAATCTACATTTATTTAATGAATGACATGTACAGGTTTACGTCATTCTTTGAATTAGAATAGGTGTGCATAATCAGAGGATTTGATGGTGAGGGTGATGATGTAATGCCACAGTCATATCTGTACCCGGGTGATGGTGGTGATGTAGATGGTGAAGGTGTTGTTGGTGATGGTGATGGTGATGGTGTAGATGAGGAGGATGGGATGGGTGATGTTGCATCATCTGTGAGCGTCCATCATAGTCCTCCCTCGCCCTCATCTTCTTGAGTTTCATCCGTCGGTTCTGGAACCAGATCTTGACCTGTCGCTCGCTCAGGGTCAGCGAGCGGGCGATATGAGTCCGCCGGTCCCGCGTCAGGTACATGTTGAAGAGGAACTCTCGCTCCAGCTCGTAGGTCTGGTACTTGGTGTAAGGTCTGCGCTTCTTGCGTGGGCGGTGGACAGGGGCGGATTGGCCGGTGCTCGGAGGGCTTGACTCTACGGTCGTCATCCATCGGCAGGCGGTGTCAGCACCGCTACTGCTTGAGGTGCTCTCTGCGGTGTTGCCATCGTGGTTGTTGTTGCTGATATTGCCAGAGTTATTGCTGTTGCTGCTGTTGCTGATGTTGCTACAGCCGTTGTTGTTGTTGTTGTTGTTATTGATGTCGCTGCAGTTGAAGCATGGTGGCGACATCCGATCTGAAGACACAACAGCCAATGAGAAAACATATCAAGACAATGGAAACAAATACGATACCAAAAGATGAAATCCCACTTTTTGTTCGACGTGATTGGTCTTTACTTTTGACGTTTAATCATGGGCCGTGGTATAAATGCTCAACTAGAGGTATTTAATGTAATGGGTTTCTATTTTTAAACAAGAGAACAGTCAGTAGTGTACCCATAGTTTGAAATCAGTGAACCTCTCTGAAAATGTGGCCAAAGCGGATTTTTTTTCTTCCGTACATTTACGGGTGGAGGTACTAGCACTCACTGTATCGGAAGAACTCTTTGGTAGTGCATGGGGAAACGTGCAATCGCACAAAATAACATATCAAAACAGACGTTAAGACATTATGTTAAAAAAGACAGTGAAAGCCAAACTGAGATCAAAATGCTTTACCAAAGCTGCACTGCACTTTTCTAGGCTAGAGGGCAAGACAAGCCTAGTAAAGCTGGTCCCAGAGCGCACAACGTTCAGAATGGACTCAGAATGGCTCAAACATTAGCAGAATGGGCTGTAGAGTGGTAACGTGACGGAAATGAAAAATCCACATTCGCCGTCGCATGGAGAACTGACTTATTGCCAATGCATAATCCATGTGTATCATTACAGTACATGAAACATACGGCGCATGTGGTGTAGGATGCCACGTCTCATACATGGGCATGAATACACACAAACATTGTAAAACTGGTCCCAGCCCTGCCTCAGTCATAACTGAAAGTCAGTTTCACAAGTGACTATCAGTGAGTGAGTCGGGGAGTCAGACCGTCGGTCAGTCGGTCAGTCGGTCAGTCGGTCGGTCAGTCGGTCAGTCAGGTACACTTGACTGGCTGTCTGTGCCCAACAACAAACAAGCCGACACGCCCCGTGCCTTCTGGTTATTTCTTTTCTTGAGTGACATTACAGAATAGGAGTTGAGGTACTCATGCTTATCAAGTGCATGAATTTATGTCGATGATGGCAAAAAAATCTCGAAATTTTCCGGACGTTGGAAAATCGAACATTTGGGAAGGGACGCCCATTCCGACACTATGGCGTTGTATTTTATATGAAAACTGGTGTGTTTTCATAATTTATTATTGTGGACTTAACGTCCATTTGCGATGGTTTTCAAATAATGTTATTTTATATATAAAATTGGGGTGCTGTTGTTTCTTTATTTCACTATTGTTACAGCAATTTTTATTTTTTCGCGGAGCCACATTGACCGGACGTTGCTATGTTTGCCTTTATTTCAAGTGCAGAAATCAGGTAGGGGTGATACTATATCTATCCCCTTATCAAAAGTTATCGGGGGTATGTATCTCCTTCATGGCAGGATTTACGCTACTATAGGCAAGTAACAACATGATCTTTTGTAGGCCTAATTATAGAGCGTAAAAAGTGGACGACCCTATTTTTCCATTTTCTGCTAGTAGATTTTTAGGTTTTTAAAATTGCAACACCTCTTTTTAAAAACTCAATTTCTGCTAGCTGAAATTTGGACTTTACTTTTACGGCTTTACGGGGTTATCCACTTTTGGAGCATTATAATTTTACTAACTTATCCCGGACAATTTTGGAAAGTGTGCATTTGAATTTGTAAAACATAAATTCAATTTGGCGCTGATTTTGAGAACGACGTATATCCTGGTTTCATTTTCGTAATTACTAGCATTCGATTTCATTTTACATCATTCAAATAAATGAATGTGCATAACGTTTCATTTAAAGGATTACAAATACGGATTAGGCTTTCGGTTTGACGGATCCGTTGCCGATTGTTACGAATGTGCAATCCAATTCGCAGAAATTGTGACGCTTTTTTATTGTGACACAGGCTGAACTGAACATTCTTTTTCGTTTGTTATGATTTAAATTCGCATATTCTGCATTCAATTTAAATAAGTATACAGGCCTATACAAATCACAACACAGCTTTGATGGATTCATTGATTAATCAATGCATTGTAGGCCTAATTGATCATTTAACTGTTTGTTCTTAAATGGGCTGCACATTTAGCGAAATAGATTCATGATAAATTAAAAGGAATAACGGATTGCGAATGTGCCTTCGATTTCGCGCTAAAATGAAATGTCCGACATAACCAAATTCAGTGCACATTCGGGAAATCGTAAGCTGATTTTTTACGACTGAATGCACCTTCATGGAAACAGAATGATCATTTGTTAAATAGAAACAAGGCTTTGGAATTTTTATTCTATTTTCGCACGAAAACGAATGCTTCTTTTACAAATTCATGTACACATTTTCCAAAATTGCCCGGGAAAACCTATGGTAAGAATTTGAGAGTTTTAGTTGACCACTTTTGAGGCACCGAGATAGACGTCAAAGTAAAATCCAAATTGCTGCTAGCAGAAAAAGTATTTTTTTAAAACCGGTGTTGCAATTTCAAAAAACCTAAAATTCTACCTTAGCAGAAAATGGGAAACTACAGTTGTCCACTTTTGACGTTCCATACCTAATGTTATTATGTATTTCAAAGCCAACTCTTGAAATGCGATCATTGTAATAATTTTTTACTAGCCCACTATACGGCCCATAACTGGCTTCCACCAGAAACAACATAGAATCTCGAAACCCGGTCCCTATTGGAAGTCTTTTGGTCTCATTTGTGAAGTAGTAAAGGCGGATTAAAATGATGGTTTCGTTACATAATTTTGTTCCAACTTAAAAAGGCAACGGTGTTTCGGCCGCGGCGTGATGTCGTTACGGCAGAACGAGCCTATAAACCCGAAGGGCATAGAGCGGCTGCAGACAGGTGAGATGGTCGTAAACGTCCGGTCTCTTTACCGCCGAGGAAAGAGAACAAAGTACCGCCGAACTGCTGAGGTAAATGCAGCAAGGAGGCGGGACGCTTTGGATTTGGGGAGACTGGACATTAAGGTTTCAAGCATAGTTGATAAACGTCTTGGGTAACATGTCAAGTAAGTTTAGCCTGCTCAAGTCCTTTACCCACAAATCGTCTCATCGGAACGAAATAGCCTCGTAAAATCGATTTACAATGATTCGAAAACTCACAGGTTGACCCTCACTTTTCATTCCCAAATTTCCATCCATTACATCCATGTTCAGAGTCCATCCGACTTCCCAACACATCATCTCAAACTATAAAATCTCCCAACTGAAGATGATTAAAAATATATATATGCGTCATCCTATAGTCGAATCCGGGTACGTGATCACCGTCCACTCACGACGACGGAGGCCCCTCTCAATGGAAAAATCACTGTGATGGATGACGGATTATCTGAAAAAGTCACACAATGCTGCCGCCATTGAAGGGGGCCTGCGTGACAGAATTGACAGCGTGCCCAGATTGGTCTATACCTTCCACCACTCTGATCCCAAATTACATTCCTTTGTCCTTACTCCTATAGCATCTCCGATGAATTCGTTCAAATAGTAAATAGGAATATCTCTGGTCGTCCAGTCCATCACAGGTCTATCCCAAGTCTGGTCACAAACAACAGGACAACAGGAGATGAACAAAAAACAAAGGAATGCCTATGTCACAGCTTAATTATCTGAATAGATTGTTACTTTGGACCGGGACTTAGTGACTTGAGATGGACTTGTGAGGGGCTGTGGAGATTGTGACAGACTCGAATGTTTTTAATAACGTTTTTAAATGATGGTAACTTATATGTTTTACAACCTTTCCATGCATACATTGAATGTTTGCACACATTGCAGCCACTAATTTAAGCTAAAATGGATTAAATCTCACCGTCGTATATTGGGCAAACTCCATTATTTTGTCTACAAATTGACAGAAAACGTATTGACAGTATAAGTGATGTTAACCTGTTTTATATTCAAGAAGATAGTGTGTACTGGTGTCTGTACCAAGAAACATAAGCAAAGATACTTTTCAAACACATTTTGATTGACAAATCTGTGCGATCTATTAACAAGAAATCACAAGTACCTGATGCATTTCAATTATCACACACAATTTATCACCTTCAACTTATTAAATTCCGCGAAAAAGTTGCCAACAGACATTGTGTAAACACCAACGCATTCTGGCATAGGCCTATATGTCAAATATTTGCATTTTTAAGTTGGGACTTTCAAGTGGGTACAGTCAAAGGTGAAACAACTTATACAGTTGGGGTTAATCCCAAAAAAGGAGAAAACTGACGAATGACAGACGCTTCCTTGAGGTTGAAACAAAAAGGAAGGAAAAAACGGACTGTTCGAAGATACATTATTTGCTACCGATGCTATATCAACTTGGTACATGTCTCCTCCATTCTTTTTTTTAAACAAAAGATAGACACCGAAGCAGTCCATTCCTTCTTATAGAGAAGACATGTTTTATTCGGCAATTATTACATTTTCAACAGTTAAAAATGGGACCGATTTATAAATTCTCCAAATTAAACATCCAGGAAACATTTGTTGAATATTCACGGATATCAAAAGGAAAATGCAATACACATGAGTAGGGAAAGCTATGTCTATTTTAATCCGTTGAAGAATATAATTGTGACCTGTTCTGCCACTTTTCTGGGCATAAGGTCAAAAATGAGATTTTTGCTTATTGTTAAAATATGTACATTTTCCTTTTAATAGGTGGTTGAATTTTTGAAACCGGTCATTCCTAGGCAAATTTATGCTATCTTGAAGTTAATCGTGTCGAAAAGTAGAAAACGGAGAAAACGGCAGTGTAAGATTGAGGTCTATTTTAAGACCTGTTTAAAGTGACATTTCTTTAACTGATATACCTTAACAAATCATCAAAAATACTATATTTAGAGTTCAAGTTAGGGTTTCAAACTTTCATATTATATTTTAGAAATGTTCAGGATTACACATATGCAAGAATTAGAAAATCCAAAAAAAATCACCCCCACATCGTTTTTTGGCCCTATCTCCAATTCAACCTCTGCCCAGAAGCGTCTGCTTTTGACAGAACAGATGTCGCAATGAAATTAGAACAACATTAAATTTAAGGAAGGCAAA